GGGCTGATATTCCTCACCGTAACCACGTGAAAATGCTGCACAGCTTTATCACTGTCTAGCGAGCTTAGAGTTTGGGAATTCTGGCTCCGGCCCCAGGTTCCTGGAGGAATAGTGACATTTATCATTTTATGACCAGACTGCCAAGAAAATTTCTGCTTCAGTAGATGCTCCTGCCTGCAGCCAATCCCCAAATCTACTTTGAGGGCAGGGCTTTCCACCTATGCAGCAAACATGTACAGTTTTACATTTACCAGCTCCTTAAGAATAAGGAGCACAATAATAAAGCATCCTCTGCACAGCGCTTGCATCTCCTTCTCCAACCTGCTGGAGAAAGTGCCCCATACGCATTAGCTGCTGCCTAATCAGCAGAGATGTGAGTGTGAGATGGAGGCTTCTTAGTCCCTCTGCCTCTTCGATCACACCCATGCGGAGCTGGAGGGCCCTGGAGCTCTTCCAGCGGGAGGGAGCGTGCATCGCACGGGGAAGGTATTTGCCAGCTGGGAAGCAGGGATGCTAACCTATTTGCATTTCACCTGAGGGCTCTAATAGTTGCCTTGCAACATTTACAGAGATGGGCTGAGCCAGGCGTGGTTTTGCTTGGGTAAGATCCTATTGGCAGGGTTTTTTGGAATTCCCAAGGAATGGGGTGCGGCTGGGTGCTAGCTTATAACCTTGGCCCGGCTCCGGTTTGCCTCTTCCTGGTAGAAGGCCCCAGGACTCTTCCTAAATCTTCCTAGCTTGAGACTGGGACAACAAATAATAATAATAATAAAAAAAACAGTGGAAGCCAGGACAGCTCTTACAGGATGGGTGACATGTCTGGGGTGAGCTCATGGAAGGAGCAGGGCAACTTGTACGTGCCCGTCTCTCACTATCAGCTGATGTGAAGCAGCAGGAGAGAATGACAGTGGTTCCTGTGCTATTTCCAACAGGCCCAGGGGGAAATACCTCCAACTTTTGCAGGCGAGCTGCGTGGGGGTGTGTTGTGGAGTAGCGTGGAGCAGTGAAGTTCCCCCTTCAAATGGAAAAAGGGTGGGTAGAAACACTGGCGAGATCTGACAGAAGGTTGATACTTTTAAGAAAGCAAAAAGCAATCCCTTGCCCCATGTCCCCTGCAGAAGAGGTTCTGCTGAGGGGGTTTTTCCCGTCTGAGGGCAGAGACAGATATGTGACGCTGGCGGGTGGGTATCAGGGTCTATGCTGGAAGGGCTAAAACCCCGTGCCAAAGGGTGCAAGTGTATCTGGGGTGAGATTGGCCAAGCAGATTGACCTGTCTTGTTCTCTGCCAGGGAATGCTGTGGAGCCTCCCTTCAGGATCCTCACATGAGCTTGAGGGGGAGAACGAAAATATTTTGATTTCTTTTTTCTTTCTTATTTTGCCAGCCTAATCACTTGGGAGTCTGTTGCTCAGATTCCCTCTGTCCCCCTTTCTTGGGCAGAGAAGCAGATGGGTTGGTGCTCCCCTGCCCTAGACCAGACGGGCTACCCTTTGTGTGCAATGCCACACGCCATCCCAAGAAAGAGGACGTCAGAAGTCCTCACTTTGGGAATGTCCTTGGTGGGTTTCTGTGAGCCCTGAGGGTCTCCCATTCCTCCCAGTTTCAGGCTTTGCTCCATCCTTCTCTTTACCTGTTGTGCTAGCAAGTGTGATGTGCTCTCTGGTAAAACTCTGTAGCCATTGGAGTAAGAGTAGCTGGAAGGAGGACTGGAGAGTGGTCTGGCATACTCCCCGTGCCACCTTGGCAAACGCTGATCTCCAGGAGATCTTCTAACATCCCATAGTGACTTGGAGAATCAGGCCTTGGCTAGGAAGCCAAGACACGTGTCTGGCCATTCCTGCGATGTACCCAACCCCAGGGCAGGCAGGTGGCCTCTGCAGCCTTCCTGCCTCCCTTCCTATCTTGTATAGGCTGCATGATTGCCCACTTCAGTGTGGAAGTTGCACCATCTCTTCCTGGTGCTCAGCACTATACCTGGAAGCTCCAGACACAAATGGGAAGTGGGATTTTGAGTCAGGCTGATGCCGGCAGCATGTGTGTGGGCAGAGGGGGAATGGTAGGATGTGACTTCTTGGACATCCCTGGGCTGCATGCGGGCTACCACGTCACATGCCCTGACTTGCACCAGCCCAAGACGTGGAGGTCCGGGAGGACGGAGGAGAAGCTGCCATGGCAGGAGGCCCCGCTGGCAGCACGGAGCGGCCACGAGCAGGCCGGAGGAGGGCAGCGGAGGTACCTGCCCTGTGCCCGGGCTGCCGGGAGCCCCCGGGAGAGAGCCAGGAGAGCGGGAGGGAGGAACAAACTCGCTTTCTTCTAGGAATTCAGTGGCCTTGCAGCAATAGGAGGCCAGGCTGCAGGGCACTTGACAGCCAGCCAGGAGTCCATTGAGACAAAAGTCGCCTTTGATCTGCCGCGCAGTTAAAAGGAGACTGTTAACCTGTGCTAGACAAATAACTCCTTAACTGTTGCTGAGCAGGAAGAGCGCCAGCCGCCTGGGCTGGCCCACCAGGGAACCCACCTACCGCATTTCTGCTCTACCTTCTGACCCTGCAGGATCAGGGGGAGGCGGTTCATGGATCTTGGCTTTCCTGGGCCCCTTCCAGCCACATCACTCAGATATCCTGCTCTTGGGGCACCCTCGGGCACAGCTGTGCAGCACGAGGGGGAAGCGAGGATCTTCGCAGGTTTGCAGTTGTCATTGGCAGAGCTGCCTCACAAACCCTGGGTAGGAGGATAGGACTGTGAGCTGCGTGGGCTGGTGATACACGGTAGCCAGGCTGATAGTATCTGCAGCAGGAAAAAAATGGCACCTAACACTCCTGTGGTGAGCAGGGAGTGGAGCTTGTTCCTGCAGCCGGTGCCCAGCAAGGCAGCTCCTTAGGACGGGCGTTTGCAATCCCTGATTTATATCTGTTCCCCCTTCTCGGTTAGCAAGGTGACACCTCCCAGCCTGCCTCCAAAGTCACCGTAACACCTGCCCACTCTCTCCCCTCCGCCAAGTGCCAGGGTTTAAAATAAAGTGCCATTTCCTACATATATTAAGTATCCGGAAGGAGCAGGGGCATCTATGCAGAGCCTCATGCGTACACAGATGCACTTGGCTGACAGGTGCAAGCATTAAAAAGCCTTCAGTTCAGCGCCCGGTGTGGAGCTGTGGCCGCAAACACTTGGAATTGCAAATGACCCCTCTTCCAGCAGCCGCCGTGTGTGGCGCTGGGCAGGGAGTGCCGCAGAGGCTCCCAGCACTGGCCTGTTGGTCCCACTCCAGCTCCCGGTAGAGAAGTCGTCAGAAGGCATCTTCATTTCACAGCTCTTCAGTGGTCTCTTAATTATGTGAGCTTATTTCTCATTGTTCCTCCATCAGTGAAGCTGCTTCCCTGCTGGCAGCCGCAGAGGCTGAGCAAGTAATGGCTGGGGATCTCAAATCTGCTCTTGTTCGTGTCTGTGGTGAGATGCTACAGCAATAGGGATGCCGAGCAAAGCGGGTTGGGCACGGGACACCTTGCGCTGCATTTACTTGCGAAACAGGGGCTGAGAGCTCTGCTGCAAGGTCCCTGGTGAGTCAGGCTGTGGAGGTTTAGGGCACCAGCGTTGTCTGCTCTGCATCTATCCAGGGAGGTTTCTGCCCCTTAACATGGGCTGCAGAAACCTCCAGCCAGCAATTCCCAGGTAAAGCTGTTGTTTGGGAGGGTGCTCTGAGGAGGGGGCCCCACTCCTGCTACCACCTTAGTAGAGGTGAAGGGTAACCAAGGGGCGGGTAGGAAGGTCCCAGCACCAAGCACCCATACAAAAGTTGCTGCAAATTCGGGGCTAAAGCACTCAGTGTTTGGAGGCCACCTACCTGCTGTTTTTCTCCTCTGCTGAAGGGAAGTGTTTGGCCCTGAACACTCGCAGGAAACGAAGGGCTCTAAATGAGAGGGACCACACACGCACCACCAACTGCCCATAAACCCCCCCATGGAAATCCCTACATTTCATAAACGCACAAGCGAAATTCTCCTCTCGGTTACGGGGCACGGGGTAGGGCTGCAGCTCAGATGGCATCCAGCACCCAGCTGAAAGAGCAGCTTTTCCACATGAGCAGCCCTGAATGAAGACAGCTAGGAGCTAAGCAAACATGGCCAGCGCTTCCTTCCAGCTCTTCTTCTCGTCTTTCGGAAGTGTGTTTTATCCAGGCCTTGCTTTCCCACACTACTCCTTTGTAGTCTTGCTGTCACTAGGACCAGTGCAATGCTGCTATCAGGGTAAAATTACCTGGAGAGTGATGGTGTTGCACCTGCCCACAGGCACCCCCTGAGTCTGACCCACCATTTGGTGCCTTTAAACCTGGTTGCTTAAGGGGTTTTTTGGCACTGACATCCAGTAATATCCAAACTCCATGCTTTTTTTTTTTTTTTTCCCCCATCCACACCAGCAACTCAGCCCATAGCCCCAGACACCCTTTCCCATGTTCTCTGCAGCATTTGTGACAGGCTCGTGCCAAAGCAGCAGACTCAGCTGCAAAGGTCAATCTTCCTTTCCCCCTGCTTTTTAAATTATTTTATAGAAAAAAACAGTATGCAAATGATGCATATTATTGGGCTGCTGTGGTTTGAAAGCACACGCGCACGCACACGGTATCTGACAAAGCCCGCGAGGGAGTTTCGTAACAGAGGGAAATATTAGGAAGGTTTTATCTGATGGTGGAAGGGAAGTCTGCTAAAATGCCTGTACTGCCGGCAGCGGGAATGAGAGGCCACCTGGAGAAGTCATATAGCAGCGCAGAAGGAAACCTCGCTGTCTGTTTGTGTAGGACCCAGGGCTGCAGGGTGTAACCCTATAACTGGTGCATTTTCTTGCTTCTTCAGTCTGCCAGTCACTTCGTGAGAGGGAGTGAGAGGCCTCTCGCAGGCTTGTTCAGGTTTTGGGCTCGTGCTTGCACAAGGGCACGTCTCTCCGGTGTTTCCGCGGTTCCGTCACGCTTCCTCCCTTGCTGCCTCCATCGCCCTCCCCTGCTCCACGATGTGGGATTTGCAGAGTCTCTCTCTAACGCTTGTTTTCCCCCTCCTCTTCTGTTTTCTCATCTGGCAGGGGGACCCCATCCCTGAAGACATTTATGAGATTTTGGGCAGCAGCTCAGTGCGCTCCATCAGCGACCTCCAGCGAGCCCTGCGGATAGACTCCGTAGGTAAATCTCCTCTTCACCAAACACTCCTTTTTATTTATTTATTTATTTTTCTTAACTCTTTCAGGAGGTGGGAGGGTTTATTCCATTCTCCGGTAGATGCACTGCCAGCAGGCCTCACTGTAAATAACAGGAACCGTTCAGGTGCCAACACATGAGTATTTACACGCTTAGCCAGCCTGAACATATGGGAGTTAGGCAGCTAGATACCCTTTTGGACTCACCTTGCCTGGTCTATTGAGGGATGCTGGCTTACAAAAGCAATAAGGGCTGGACAAGGTGAGTCCATGGAAATGGGACCAGTGCTTTTCACCCTGGGAGATCATCTTAGGAGGTGGAGAAATGGGACCTGGAAACAGAGGAGAAAAGGACCGAGTGAGTTCTGTGGTTCAGCGTGCAGGAAAAAACGCAGCTTCCCAGAGGCTCCAGGCGCGGAGCAGCAGGGCACGTGCGCGGGGGTGAGACGCAGGCTGCGCGCTGCGGCCGGCCGGCTGCGGGCAGCACCGCGTCGCCTCCTGCGCGGAGAGGAGCTCCGGGGGCTCCGGGGCCTCGGGGTCACTTGGCCGGGGCTGCGCGCGAGAGCAGCGGGAGCAGCGGAGCGTCGAGGGGTCGGCACGTGTGGGAACCGGAGCACGCGCCGCGGCGGAGGGGCAGGCCCAGGAATTTATTTATAAACGGTCTCTTCAGAGCAAATTCCATTCTATTCTAACTCCGCTCCCGCCCGTCGTCCGCCGGCCCCCCCAGCTCGCCTTCTCTCTTGTGTTTTGTCTGTTTGGAGCTTTGTAATCCTTGCCGAGACACTATCTACGGGGGAACAGAATTTCCTGCTTTTGTTTCCTATGCCAGTCCAACCACTGGCGCAGTCTCAAAAGCATTCCCGCTGCCTTTCAAAACGGCCCTGGAGGGGCAGGGGGGGACGCGAGGGGGAGGGCACCAGCTGTGTTCAGCTATTGTTTGCCTTAGAAAGAGGCGACGGGCTCCCCAGCACCGCCACGGCCGCTCCCTGCCCTCCCCAGCTCCCTCCTCCTTGTCCACGAGCCGCACAATGGGGCACCTTCCAAAATTAGACACTCCGGCTTGTCCCGGGCTGCTCCCCCCACACCCAGACCCTCTTTGGCCACAGCTGACCTGGGCTGTAGAAGGACAACCTGGGCAAGGAGGGACGAGGTTTTCAATAGGAGAGTTGCTTCTAGTCAACAGTTGTTGCTATTTTTTTTCTCTTCTCCATGACTTAGCCTTTGCACAAGGGCAGCCCCCACCCTCGCATGATAAAACTCCAGACAACACAGGATGGAGGGGTGGGGAAGGAGCAGCTGGGATGTGTGCAGTCTGTCTTGTCCTAGTGTCCAAGAAGCGAATACATCTCTGTCTCAGTTACTGACCAACCTCGTGCTTAAGCAATAAAGAGGGCTCCTCTTGCTGGCCAGCCAACATCACTTTTCATCTCTCTCTCTTTTTTTTTTTCCCCCCATATGGTGCTCTTCTGGCTTCAGGTAGTGACTGAGGTGCATCACCATTTACCTGCCCTGTGTGGAATTAGTGCATTAGCAAATGCAGGTATTAGCAAACTAGCCCCAAATTAGCCAGGTCTATTTCCTGCACCATCCATGTCCCGGGTAGGGGTCACAAGTACTGCCCCTCGTTAACTGCATAGGAAGCCAGATTTTGGCAGTCGCAGAAGGTAGATGAGCTGAGACATTGCTCTCCTGATCTTAGTCACACTCCTGGAGCCAGCGGCTGAGGCATGGAGAGTAGGGATCCCCTCCCATAACTGCGGATACCTGCCCAGTAGATGTGCCCATCCAAGCCAGTCGTGCAGACATGCTCTGTAGCCCAGGCAGAATCCCAGGCCCTTCTAGAGCACGTGGCACCGTTTTGAGTGTTTGCCCCAGTGAGGCGAGGTCTGTCCTAGAATCAACAGCACCTCTCCAGCAGGCTCTCCAGCCAAACCACTTTGAAGTGTGTCTGTCCATCTCACGGGGATGTTGACTGCATAGGCAGCTGATTCCTGCCTCGTGCATGCAGCCTCTATGCACACGTCTCAAATCCTCCATCAGTTGTCTGAGATGAGCAGTGAGCTGAGTCCCTGCTTCCCCTTATACAAAGGCTTCGCTGAGGCAGGGACTGAGGAAGAGGGATGGGACGTGATACATATGGGAACCTGCTCCAGCACATCTCAGATAAACAGAGATCTTCCACTGTCCCCAAATTTCCCTAAAGAAAATTGTTCTCCTGATGCTGACGTCCATGCTGCTTCCTTCAGCTGCTAAAGCAGGCCAGAGAAGGAAGGCGCTTGGGCTGACTGGGAGCTATCCCTGAGCATGGCCATTGTCCGGAGCTCAGGAGGGGCTGCGTGTTGGAGTGCTCCGTGGGGATTATGGGCATTTCTCCATTCAGCACTTCCTATGGGAAAAAGCAGTGGAGTGGGAGGGAACTGCTCAGAGCTCGGCTAAATGCTGCATCTTCCTCTGACGACTGAGCTACTTCCAGACCCTGCAGTTACCTTGCAGTAGCACAGGGGGGAAATCGTTTTAACTTGTTCTCCTATTCTCCTATCACAAAACCAACTCTACCATAGAGCAGTGGTCTGGGAGGCAGAAATCAAGCCCTCTACCTGCCACCCACTGCTGCCCTTGTCCCTACCCTCCCACGGCTGAACTCCCCCAGGCCGTAGCTATCCCAGCAAGACACCTCAGTGCTCATATACTGAGCATCCTGCCTGTCCCACCTGGCCTTCGCATCACCCTTGTCATATCCTGAGGCAACTGAGCTGAACTTTCTCCTACTCCAGGCAGTCCTACCTAAGGCCATGTCTTTCATGACCTAGTTTTCCTCTGCTAGATCTGGCTAAGACTCCTCTTTCACAAGAGGCTTATTGGCTTGATTTGCTTGAAGCTGCCAGCTTAGAGCCTCTGTGCATCAGCGTGTCTGTGATCTGGCCGTGGATTTACACCTAACACCATGTAACAGGGTATTTATTACATATTAGTGCACCCTGGGTCTTGATTAGTGGAGCACATATGCCTGCTGCCTTCTCCCATCTCTACGCAGTGTTGTTAAACATGTCCTTCTCTTTGCAGAAGAGGAAACCCCGAGCGTGGAGCTGAACGCAACTCAGCCCGGTCCGAACCCTGTGGCGCTGTCTCGAGGGAGACGAAGCATAGGTGAGTCTGGCACGTTGCCCTCTGTGGCTGCTGGGGCACTAACCTAGGCAGCTGCGGGTGAGGCAGGTGCAGCTCTGAAATACATGTGCTGGGCTGGAGGCTGACATGGGCATGGATGTGCAGACAGATGGGAAGGAGGGTCTGGGCTTTACAGCCCAGCAGTGCGGGAGAAGGAGTCCAGAGTTCTGCAAGTTTCAATCCCTTGGGTGTTGATTTGTCCTGAAGAAGTATCATTCCTGCCTCGGGCTGCCACTGCAGTGAGAAGCATCTTTTGCTGGAGGCTCCCCCATAGGGCACCGTTCTGCTCCAAGAGGGAGCTGGATGGCCAGGAGCAGGGGAAGAGCATGTGGGTTTGTGTGGGAGAGCAGTGCAGGCTCTTTCTCTTCTAGGGGAAGATCGGTAACAGCTGCACAGCCCATTTCATCCTCCCTCCCTCTCTTTGCCCCCGTAGATGCGCTGGCAGCAGCCGAGCCTGCCGTCCTCGCGGAGTGCAAGACGCGGGCGGTGGTCTTTGAAATCTCCCGCAAGATGGTGGACAGCACCAACGCCAACTTTGTGGTGTGGCCACCCTGTGTGGAGGTGCAGCAATGCTCCGGGTGTTGCAACAACCGCAACGTGCAGTGTCGCCCCACGCAGATCCGTGTCCGGCACGTCCAGGTAAGGGAGACCCTTTGCCCAGCTCCCTGCTCTCACAACCTCACCTCTGTCTCCAGCTCCCCAAGAGAAAACCCCCGCACGTCTCACATGCAGGGCTCACCCAGCTGTCTTTTCCCTGCCACTTCTCTGCAGTCACATCCTGTGCATTAGCCACGCAGTGCTGCGGTGAGCTCTGTGCCAGCTGCTCCCCACGCTGGTGCTGCCAGCAGCTGGGGACTGTCACCGCAGCAGAGCTACAGGCACCATCCCCAGCTGCAGCCCAGTCTCTCGCTGGGCCTCAAGGCAACCATGTCTTCTGTATCAGAACCAAAAAAAGAAAAAATCCAGAACTTTCACCCCAAGAGCTGCATTTGATGCGAGAAGACGCGGGCCTGTAGTTGCAGTGCTCCATCCCCCAAGCACTCCTTCCCAAGACACGCACTGAAGCAGCTTCTCCTCTTTCTCAGCCCCGCTGCTGCCTCCCAACGCAGCCGGGCTGCAAGCAGACAGCTAACCTCTTGCTCTGATCCTGTCTGCTTGTCAGCTAATAGCGATCTTCTCACAGTTTCCTCCCAGACAGCTTGTTTAAAAATAATACTGATCCCGTACTAATCCTATGCCTGCGCTGTAAGAGACTCCTCTAGACAGAGGGCAGAGGTTGGCCAGGGCAGGTTGCATTCAAACAGCCTGTTACATCAGGAAATTCCTTTCTCAGAAAGGCCAGGTTGAATGAGGGAAACATGCTGTGGTGGTGGGGACGAGCAGGAGTTGTTTTTGTGGAAAAAGCAAACCAGAGGTCAAAAGCCAGCCAGAAAAAGTGACCTGGAAATAGTTTCTTTGAGGACAGAGGTCTCTCTATTGTTTGGCTGGAAGTGTTTGCCTAGCGAGCAGCGTGTGGTCTGAAGCGTGTGGAGTGGGCTTTCAAGGAAAGATAAACAACAGCAGCCCAGGGATGCTGCTGGGGGCAGTTGGTTTAGAGGAATTCAGTCCCGGCCTCGCAGCAAAGCAAGTATTTATAGCTCGCGGAGCACTTCAGGGGCTGTGGTCTTATTAGATAAGCCAAGCGGGGTTAGACCTGGCCCTGCTGGGAGTGGGAGAGTCCCCCTAGAAAGCTCAGGCCCTATGGTGGGATGTGGAGCAGTGAGCTTTCCCTCTGAGTCAGCACTGATGGAGAGTCCGAGGGAATTTCCAGAGCACCGCCTTTCCCATGAAACACACAGCTGAGAGCTTCAGCCCCATGAGTTATTAAAGAGCTTGAGACAAATTCAGACAGGCCTCAGTGGAGCTGGGGAAGCTGCATTTGCTTACATCGGGCGCAAATTATTTTGTTTTTGCCCTTTCTGCAGGATCCTGTGGCAATTAATTCTGATTGCCCCAGGTCTCTGCCATTACAGCACATCCCATTCCACTCACGCCGTGTTTCTGTATGTGGTCAACCACTTACCCTGCTCCATGCCAAAAGCAGCTGCAAGTTAGAAATGGGGAAAAGAACTGGTCACATCCAAACTTGCCTGGTTTAGGGCTGCTCTCCTCGTGTGTGCAGAAGTTGCTGCAGTGCACAGCGCCTCTGAGTTTGAACCATGCTCTATAAACTGCCTTCTGACCCTTTAGGAAGAAAGCCAGAGGCACAGGGAGACTGATTACTTTTACAGAGTGGGACCTACAGCTGTATTCATCTTTTGGATGCTTCTCTTTCCCAAATAGGTGAACAAGATCGAATTTGTCCAGAGGAAGCCAGTATTTAAAAAAGTCGTCGTGCCTTTGGAGGACCATGTGCAGTGTCGGTGCGAAGCAGTGGCCCACCAGCCCCCAAGGAACATCCGGCCAGGACAGCGTAAACAGAGACGTAAGAATCTTTGCGTTAGTAGAGAGGAGAGAGGCATGAGAAGAGAGGCTAGGAAGAGAGGAACTAACTCCCCACTGGTTTAAATCTGCTTAGCTCCAGTGAATCCCATGAGCCTTTTCTGGTTTATACCAGCCCTAGGAACCTTTCCCAGGACGTCAGCCATCCAGCAAGGGGCTGAAACCAAGGGAAATGAAGGAGCAGAAAGTGAGGGGCAAAGGGGAAGGCTGAAGGACAGCTAGGGAAAAAGGCGAGGGCAGAGACCGGGCAGAGCAGAGGGTGGCATGAAGAAGATGAGGGCCTCGGGGTGCTCCCTTTGCAGGGCTCTCTGTTGGTAGCGGATGGCGAGCAGAGTTTCGGCCTGGCCTGGCAGCGCGGTGCCACACGGACACGCTGCCCTCTGTTTTGGCAGGCCTGCCCTCGTCGTTCACCACAGCCGCCGCGTCGCAGAGGCAACGAGCGCGCCGGCCGCCAGCACAGAAGAGGAAACATAAGAAGTACAAGCATGTCAACGATAAGAAAGTGCTGAAAGAAATCCTTGTGGCATAGAAGTGCCAGCAGGGGAGAGAGAGCCCAAGGCAGGTAAGAGCAAGCTGCTTTTCCAGCTGAGAGAGATGTCCTCCTGGGACACGGTTCTACCTAGACATCTCAGACATTTCCCACAGCACTGGTTGCTCACTGAGCATGGGGTTGCTGCAGGACCCGAGCATGATAAAAGCAGAGTCAAAGGAGGGGGCGAGATTAGGCTGAGACCTACATGTGTATCCTATTTGTGGCTCTTTGGAGAGGTGAAAGGATCATGCTGCTTCACTCTTCAGCCCTGCCTTCTCTTTTCTCTGCATCTCTTTAAGCCAGACAGGGAGCCTGACCTCTCTCTACACCTAAATCCCCCCAGGGTCTATGTTTTTCATCTCCTTTGTGGAGCAGCTCCTGTTCTCCTTTCTCTATTGATTCTCTGTTGAAAGCAGAGAATTAATGTTGCTCTGGGGATCCCTTTTCCTTTTATTTCATTAGTTGAGTTGGCAAAAAGGCTCAGAAGTAGCAGCACTTTTGGTTCATCTCTCTCCTAGCAGGAAGTCTGTGTGCATAAGAAAGGTCATACAAGGGGAAAGGAGAACTGGAATCTCTGGCAATAGATCTGGATTTTGTCAGTCCAGGGTCTGATTCTTTTCTCCCTGGCTTGTGTAAACAGGAGCAATTCCATCGTGATCAGAAGAATTTTACTGGTACGAGCAAAAGGAGAATCGAGCCCTGGTTCCTCTTTGGAGAGGGAGAGTTGCATAAAAGATAGAGTAGCCTGGGCTTGCAATTGAGGGCTGAGTTTAGAGAGTGGCAGTACAGGCTAATAGTGAAAGCCCTGGCCTGTGACACAGCAGTCACTGCTCTGCCACAGGCTCTTGAATGAGCCTGGGCCAGTCAGTTCCCTTCCCCTTCCCTTGTGAGAGGGAGGGTAGGAACTTCCACTGTGTTGCGTTTCAGGAGCTGTGGATGAGGGGCACCAGATAATATCTTGGGAGTTTTATTCCCATGCATAACCCTACAACGGCTCTGACTATCCCAGGATCCCTCTGGCCAGCCCAAGATTCCCAGGGTATAAATGATGCAAAACTATGCAGATCTCAGCTCGGGCTCCAGCTGTCCAGGAGGTAAAAAAAATAGAGGTCAGAAGCCCTTCTGGGCTTTTAATCTGGCACTTCAACACAAACACCTCCAGAGGAGAAAAACAAAGAGGAGGGGAATCGTGGAGGAAGAGGGACATATATGCTAATGCTGTGTGTGGTTTTGTTTCTCTTCCAGGTTTATTTAATATATTTGCTGTATTGCCCCCATGGGGTCCTTGGAGTGACAACTTTTCCTCTTTGTCTGTCTGCCTCGACGTCTGATTCAGATGGCAAATGGTGCTTCCCTTTCCACCAATGGACCTTCTCCCACCAAAGTCTCTCCTTTCTTTCATTTATTAACATCGTTTTAAAGTTTTACAAAAACAAAACAAAACAACAAAAAAAAAGAAACAACTTATATATATATATATATAAAAGAACAAAATATGAATACAACCATGGACCCCATCAACCACAACCTGCAGTGAGGACAGGACAATGCCTTCCCTGCTCCAGAGGACAGGATGGAAAATGTGAAAGTGGGCCCAATTTCTTCTGAAAGAAGGAAAAATAAAACAGGCAGAGGGAGGAAGGGGAATATTCTTCCTTTTCCTTGTGCTTCTGGTAAGGCTGGGAGGGCTCAGCTGAGGTCAACACTTGCACTGGACCTACTTTTTCAAAACAGGCATATCTCAGATTGTGAGCGGCAACCGATGACGGAAAATGCACTAAGGACTTTTATCGCCCTACCTGGACAGATCTATATTTTTAACGCTTGTGTGTATATTTTATTTGAAAAAGAAATACCAAAACCACTAGAATATACAACATCTCGGGGAACAGAAAAAAAAAAAAAGAGAGAAAAAAAAAAAGAAGCCAAATGCATTCCCCTCCCTTTTCCCCTCCTGCTCCTGGTGCTGACTGGAAGGCGTTTGGATTTTGGGGAAGGAGCAAAAGGCTGGTGGCAAAACCGTCTCCACACACCTGGCCCCTGACAAGGGGAGCCATCTTTGCACATGCTGGTGGAGAACACAGCTTTCCAGGCTCGGACTCAGATTATTTTTTAAATTTGCTCTGTATGTGTGCGCCAGTATACGTGTGTGTACATATATATATATATACGTGTGTGTGTGTGTGTGTGTGTATTTATACATCCATATATATAGATATATATATATATAGAAATATATATATATGTTTGAAAATGAATTTCATTAGGAACCTCAGTGGCATGTGCATGCGTCAGCGTGGGCAGCCAGAAGAAAAGCACACTTTTCTGCAATATTACTCAGTGCCTGTGGGGTCTGAGACAGGATGGACAGAGGCACCGTCTGATCTCCCTCTGTCTTGGTGCCCTTTTCTCTCACTCTGCACCAACCCCCCATCGCAACTTCCTTGCAGGAGGCCAAGTGGCAGCACAGCGAGACCAACAAGAGCCAAACTTAGAAGCATGACTTAATCTAAATGAGCTGTCCTTGCCTGCTCTGTGGTCCCGAAAGCAGAATAATGTCATTCTCCCGAGCTTTTTAACCCCTTCGTGGACATCCTGATGCCCTCATTGCCGTCTCCCTGCCAATATTCCTGGCTCTCCTGTCTTTTTCCTCACTTTGTCACTCTCAGATTCCCTCGTGCTCCTTAGTTTTCCTGTTAGATGATCCAAGCCCCTTGAGGTTGGAAGCTGGTCCAAAATGTGGGCAGGTGCGAGTAGGTGAAGAAAAAGTGGTGAGGATGACTCTGGCAATGTCGCAACATCGGTCTGAGGCAGAAATGAGCCCTCGGAGGAGCAACAGGGTGGTGGGTCGCTGAGCGCGTCCCGGGCCCCTGCAAAATCGCTTGGGAGAAGGACCCCCTCCCGGCTGACGGGGCCATCTGCACAAGCAGTAGTCGGTCATCGTTTGTGGAAACGTTCTTTGTGACACGGAAATGCATTTCCAGTGCCACATCGGAGTCCCCAGCTGAGGCGCTGCCATGCTGGGCCCTGCACAGTGAATCGCTCCAGGAGAAGCTCCCTGTCCGAGACAGGGCCGTGGGTCCTGCCTGCCGCTCCTGCCTCCGGCCGCCGCTCCCATGTGGAGCAAAGTGCCAGGAGGAGCTGGGGGAAGGAGGTGAAGCCGCAGCCCGGGAGCTGACACGAGTCGCCGTGGACTCGGCCCTCGCCACCTGCAAGCCCAGAGCACTTCTGATAATCACTGCCAAGGCTGCGCCTTGCTCCATTCCTCCTGCTCTAAGTCCTCAAGTCTTAAGACACTTTGTTTTCCTGTTCCAAAATCTGTTTCTTTGGTTTGTAAAGATGGTGAGGTTTTATTTTATTTTAATTTTTTTTGCCTTTTTTAATGTAAGATTAATTTATACTCAGTACTGTATTTAAAGTTGTAAAAAAAAAAAAAAAAAAAGGAAAAAAACCACACAATCAACCACATTTCTCTTTCTTTCGTGAGCTGGCTGAAACACAGAAGCACAAACAACCTGCCGTGAGCCAGGCGGGGGTTCTCGAGGTCTCCACTGCAATTTCTAGGACACTTCAGCTGAGATGAGGGCTCGCCGGGGCCGTGCGACGCTCACCCGCCTAGGGTAGGGCAAGCGCTGTCCAGCTCTCTCCTCCGACGTGTTTCCCGCTCCATGGTCTGCTTTGGAATGACTCAGGCTGCGGGGATTTCTTTATCGGAGAGGTCCCCCTTCTTAGCTGCTGGGTTCAGAGGCCCGGCCAGACTTTCCCTGCGCTCTATTTGATCTCCGGATTCCCTTGCTTTAAAGGACTTAGAGCAAATCACAGTGTTTACACTCTTCAAAGCCGTGTAAACAGTTAGCCTATTCCCTCCTTAGTCATATCGTCTAGACAACATCAGTCCTTTCCTCTTTAGGATACCGCCGGGCCTTGTGTTTCCCTTTCTTCAGGGCAGGGGAAGTACTGCGGGCGCGAGGCAGCTGCCTCCTGCCGCAGGCAGCAAACGCAACCACAGGAAAGGCAGCCCCGGGCTTTGCCACAGCATGTGAGCCAGCGCAGCCTCTGCCCGTGCCTCCCTTTCCAGAGCCTGGCGGAGCACATAGAGCACCCCAAGACCATGGCTTAGCTCTGGGGAACAGGCCCAAGTGGGCACTCGTGCCGCAATGGCAAACCTGGAGAGGTGGGTCTGGGGGTTCTCCGGACTATCTTGGACATATAAGCCTGGGACTGCAAGGAGTGCATCTCCCTTCAGTATCCATCGCTTTGGGGTTCAGGGGCTGCTTTGGTGAAGGGAGCTGGAGGGAGGCTGACCCCTTCCTGCAGCTTCCAGAGCACACGAGAGGAAAAGCGCTGGCAAAATCATGGAAAGGATAGCAGTCATATCCCTATTGTAGTTTCCCTGGTGTAGAAATTGCAAGTGCAAACAAAGATTTTTCCCCATGAGACGTCGGTGGTTTTAAGGGCATGCCAGCAGGGAGCCTTGGGGGAGCAAGAGGTGCAGAGGAGGCACAAGACACGGAGGTGTGGGTGCATTTGGCTCACTTTGCTCCTGCCAGGGAGCTGGAGGAATGGCCGGCATCCCACCGGCCGCCCCGGTCCTCCCCTGCTCTCCACAAGCACGCGGCCTCACACAGCGGTCCAGAGGGGCACGTACAAACCCATCCGAATGCTGCAAACGCGTGTGTGTGTCTGCCGCGACTCTAAATGAATAGGTGTTGAAAGAAACCGCGGGCCCGAACACCTTGAGTTAGCGCTGCGCCGGTGCCTCGCGTTCGCTCTCAGCAGCTGCTCCCGCGCCGACTTCAGCAGGGTTTGATTGCAACATCTTGGCACGGATTCAACACAGGTCAGGACAGCGCGTACGAGGACAGGACCCCATAGCACTTCTAAAGACTCGAGCAGGTGTTTTCAATCCAGCCCACAAAGTCAAACTTGGCAAGCAGACACAAAATCCTGCACCTCAACTATGTGCACAGGGAGAAGCCCCCGGAGACTTTCAGCGCGTGGTGAGGGAGGGTTTGCTCCGTGCAGGGTGCCGGCTTGGCTCACCCCGCGCTACAGGTGATCTCTGAAGATCCAGGGAGTCTTGGCAGCTCTCCCTGTTTTAATTGCTGTTGTAGCAATGACTGCTGCTTTACCTAAAGGCCCAGCCTCAGGACATAAGTCATCCAACGGGAAGTTCATCTTTTGTTAAAGAAAAATGCACCTAGCCTTTGAGGGAGTAGAAAGAAACCTCAGAATATGGTCCTTCTGCAGAAACACAGCTTCCAAAAGAGGCAGGCAAATCAAAAAGCGTGTTAAATGGATTATTTATCACACACAAAAAACAAACCCTTAAATTTTAAAGCCAATCTCCAGGCATTTAGTGTGGAGATTTTGCAAGGCTTGAAGCCATTGCATGGACAAATGGAGCAACAAATCAGTTTGCAACAGTTTCCTCCCCGTGCGGAGCAAAGCCTTTGACTATTTGCTTATTTCATTGGTGTCCAAGAATGAGACTGGCTTAAAGTCACCCCCGTGCTTGGCTGTGGCTGGAAGGAAGAGCTTTCTTCAGACTCACCAAGTGCCAAGCCCAGTCCATGGCACTGGGCCCACACAGGCCCTGCCTTCCCCACACTCAGGTTGCATCTTGCTAGCGCAAGTCACGTCCCCCACTGCGGCCACCCCTTCCCATTGTGGCAGCTGCCCATGCTCCCTGGTTGTCCCATAGGATGCAGGACCTGGGATGGGCTGCGGGCCTTCAAATGTGCCACTCAGCGCTTGTCCGAGGACATCCCCATCTCACTGCCCCCGAGTGAGTGCCAGGTGGGTCCTGCAGGAAAACAGGGCTGTGCCCAGGGGAAAGGGAACACAAAGAAGTATGAAAACAGGAGGAATTTAAAACTAGCTTTAAAAAAAAAACCCAAAACCTCTCAAGTAAGTCCAGATCTCGATTGTGCAGCTGTTCACCCCTTGCCTCCACACAGCCCGTGACCAAATGATGCCGTTCCCCTCCGGGCCGCAATCTGCCCATGACCAAGTGAGTATGTTGAAGACTTGGGAATTTCTCATCTTAAAAGATGTGAAGAAGCTAAGAAGCATCGGCTGTTTCCAGCTTTGATCTCAGGGTTGAAGGAAGGACAAAAAGGGCACGAGGCCCCAAAAGGCCTCATAGGGAGCAGAGGGAACCCCCAACACCTGCAGAGAGCCACACTTGGGCCTCCAGGGAGGCAGTGCAGATAGCGACTTAAATGACACAGCCTTGAACATGGTCCTGAAGTCTGTAGGACATTCAGCAGAGGAGCCTGGAGAAGGAATAGACTGAAATATAAAATTACAGCAGGATTTAGGGATGATGTTTTCTCCCGCAGCCAGGCGAGTAGCAATCCAGACTCTGCAGGCACTGCCTACTGCCTTGGTTTTGTCCCAAAAACAGTGACAGGGCCCTGGAGGAAAGCAGACTCTAAGGAAACAAA